TGTCAGCAAAGTTGACGTCCATAGAATAAAAGTGAAACTGGCAATATGGATACAAAGTTGGCTGAATGACAGAAAACAGAATAATGGTGAACAGGTCTTTTTTTCAGATTGTGGAAAATATTTAGTCAGGTTTTCTGGGGCCGGTATTAAGAGCACTGCTTTTTGTGATGTTCAGTAATGACCTAGACTTCAATATATATGGCACAGTTTCAAACCGTGAGATGACACAAACATACAAGTATTGTGAATTTTGAAGAAGACAGGTTATAAGTGCAGGGAAGTTATGTTGGAACTGTGGTTAGGTTACAGCTGGAGTACGGCATGCAGATCTGGTTACAGCACCACAGGAAGGATGTGATTGCACTGGAGGTGGAGAGGATTTACCAGGATGTCACCTAGGATGGAATGCTTTATTCTGAAGAAGGGTGGATAGGCATGGGTTGTTGCCTTTGGAACAGAGAAGGTTGAGGGAGGACCTGATAAGGTGTATAACATTATGAGGGCATAAACAGGGTGGATAGAAAGCAGTTGTTCCCCTCAGTTGAGGGATCAGTAATAAATGGTCTTTCTTTTAAAGTGGAAGATTTAGAAGGGATTTCAGGAAAATATTTTTTACCCAAAAGGCGGTGATGGTCTGGAATGCACTGCCTGGGAGGGTAGTTGAGGTGGGTCACCTTGCACCTTTAAAAAGTATTTAGATGAGCACTTGAAATGTCATAACATTCAAGGTTTTGGACCTAGTGCTGGAAAGTGGGACTAGTGTAGATTTAGCATAGTTTTGGTAGTACAGTCTTGATGGGCCAAAGGGCCTCTTCCGTACTGTATGATTCTATGGTAGTGATAAACTTCAAATGGACCGATGGAATGGGAGGACAAGTGGCAAATAAAACTTAAAGCAGAGAAGTGTGAATTGATTCATTTGGCTGGAAACAAAAGAGTACAATTCTAAAGATTATGCAGGATGAAAGGGACATGAAGATATATGTATGCAAATCATTGAAAATAACAGGACAGGTTGGTAAAGTGGTTAGAACATATGTGATCCTATCTTTATAAATGGAAGCATAGAATACAAAAGCAAGAAAGTTATGATGAATCTGTATAAAACCTTACTTCAGCCTCAGCTGGGTATTCCATCCAAATCTGGGCAGCACACTTTAGGAAAAGATGTGAAGGCATTAGCGAAGGTGCAAAACAGATTTATGATAATGATTCCAGGGATGAGAAACTTCAGTTATGTAGATAGATTAGAGGAGCTGGAGTTGTTCTGCTTGGAGAAGAGAACATTAAGGGGAGATTTAACAGAGAATTTCTAAAATTATTAACAGTCTGGACAGAATAGATGGGGAGAAACTGTTCCCATTGGTGGCAGGGCTGAGAACAAAAGGACACTGATTTAAGGGAATTGGCAAAGAAGCATCAGTGACATGAGGAAAACTCTTCAGCAGTGAGCAGTTAGGGTCTGGATGCTTTGCCCGAGAATGCAGAGGACGCAGTTTTAATTGAGGCCTCCAAAAGATAACTGGATAATTATCTGAAGTAAGCCAGTTTTCAGGCTTACTTGGAAGGTAGAAGAGTGAGACTAGATTAGTTGCTCTTCTAGAGAGCTGACACAGACATCACTGGCTCAATCATCTCCATCATGCTGTGTATAAAGATGCTGTGCAGATGTTTGTGGACACAATAGAAATCAAATTATCACTACATAAACAATTAATATTTTAAAAAAATACATGTTATTTGTTGTTTGCTGTCAATCAGAATAAAGAACTATGTGAAGTTAATACATTGAACGTTTTTCTCGGCACTGAGTTCCAGGTAATGGATCAAAATTAGTATTCAAGCAATTTTTAGGCTGTATTAAAATTATATAAATGTCCCCTACCTACAAAGATCAGATTTCATCCCTGGAACAAGAATGCCATCCAGTTCCAAAAGATGTTAAAAGCGGTTTATCTTAAATTATCTTAATTTACTTCTCAAAGGATTTGTACAGCACATAAAAGGGAGAATTTAAACTCATCATTCTGGGCTGTGTGTGCTAATAAAAAGGGAAATAAATTATGTACGAGTAACTTATTTCATCATATGGTTAAAAAGAAAATCATGAAATCTATAAATCCAACATAAAAGCAGAAAATGGTAGAAAGGCACAGCAGGTTGATGAGGATCTGAAAGGAGACAGGAGAATGGTTTGGGTGCAACTCTCTATCTGAACTGCAGCAAGTGGAGAACCATGTAATTGATGGTTGGTTTACCAGCATGAGCACAATCATTCTGATGAAGGTTATATCCAAACATTTCTTTTGACCTATTGAAATTTTACATGCATTCCTGAGTCCTCAAGTCCTGCTATAAATCATTAGAGTAAAACATCGAAAGTACTGATCAAACAGATATTTTTTTCGATAGCTCATTGAGTGAGTGCTCTGAATGCTCAATTAATTCTCCCTTCAGTCTCCAGAAAACCTATTCAGTTTTTGTTCATAGCTAAATTCTCCATTCCTAATCCATTCTTTGAAAAACTCCTCTGTAACCTCACTGATGTCATCAGATTCTTTCTGTAATGCAGCAGTCAGATCTGCAGGCCATACCCTATCTGGGACTAACTAAACACACTGCATATATGGCACTGATCCACATAAAAGGATAGCTAGAATGTAGTGCCCAGTTTTAGATGCCCTACTTTAGCCAGGACATTAATGACAGAAACAGTATAGAAGGGATTTATTAAGATGATATCAAGGATAACAGATGGCAGATATCAGGGGAGTTGCATAGTCTCTTTTCATTAGATCTGGCAATGATGTTAGGAATCTTGAAAGGCATTGATATTACAGTCATGGAATGCCATATCTTTCTTGACCACACTATGGCATCTGCATTTTCAGAATGCTTGTCTGGCATCAAGTTCTGGATGATCTGAAATTTACTCCAATTAACTATTTATGTGGCCAAAATCAATATCTGTGGCACCTACCACAAAAACTCCAGACCATAGCTATTCATTCCATCCCCTCTTTAGCCTTTGCTTCAGTTTGAATCAGGGACCTTTGCATCCTACTTGATCATGAACAAAACTACCCATAATAAAGATTACACACATCCACCTCAAGGATATCACCCCATCTCTGCCCCTGTCTTAATACACTTGCTGAATTCCTCATTCACAATTTTCTTACTTTTGTACTCAACTATTCCAATATTCTTCCGACTGTATTCCTGTCATCCACTGTCCCAAGACTTCTGTTTATCCTAAAATCAAATTCCTCCTGGCCTCTGCTTTCTTTTAACTCAGACCTCTTGTACACGTCCAGTTTCCTTTGTCTATCAGTGGAGGCAATGCCTTCTGTTGTTAAGGTTACGCTCTGGTGATCTATCCACCTTTCTCTCCTTCTTTGTGACACTCTTTAAAACCGGTTTTATGTTTTAGTCACTCAATATTTCAGAAATTTAGCCTGAATGAGGGTATTAGTCAGTTTCAGCATGGGAAGGTGCTTGTGTTCTGGGAAATTGGGACTTTTTGCAGCTAGTTCAGTTTCACTGGCAGTGGCCATCACATTACTATACTTTTGTCCAGGAATAGTACAATAACCTGAAAAAGGTATAAGAGATGGATGATAAAACAAGGCAGGAACCTCTGATACTACTATTCACCATTAAATATAAAGATGGAGCTTTCAAATACAGCTGAAAGGGCGATTGCATGGTATGTCAATGTGTCACCATTTGCTACTGTTCATTTTATGGCTGGCAGAAGCTGAGCATTCTCTTTCTGAAATTGGAAAATTAAATGATGGATGGTTTATTCTTTACAAAGAGTTAAAAGGCTTTAAATACTTATAAGGAATAAACTGGTATTCCTATATTGGAGCACTGCCATATAAATCAGGGACCTGAACCACAATTAACAACACTTACATGACAGTTATTATTTAAAAATATTTATTTAAAAAGAAAGCATTCTTTCATGCGACGTGGGGACAGCTGGCTAGGCCTGCATTTATTGTCCATCAGTAATTGCCCAGAAGTAGTCAACAACATTGGATCTGAAGTCATAGATAGGGGAGGCAAAGGCCTAGTATTATCACTGGACTGTTAACCCAGAGACCCAGGAAATGTTCTGGGACACAGGCTTGAATCTCAACACGGCAGATGATGAAATTTGAATTCAATAACTATCTGGACCTAGGGGTCTAATGATGACCATGAATCCATTGTCGATTGTAAGAAAAATCCATCTGGTTCACTAATGTTCTTTAGGGAAGGAAAACTGCTGTCCTTACCTAGTCTGGCCTACTTGTGACTCTAGACCCACAGCAATGTGGTTGACTCTTAGCTGCCCTCTGGGCAATTAGGGATGGGCAATAAATGCTGCCTGGCCAGCAATGCCCTCAGCCTGTGAATGAATAAAGAAATGTGGGCCATACCAGGTAAGAATGACAGATTTCCATTCCTATAGGACATTAGTGAGTCAAATAGATTTTACAACTGTTGACAAAGGTTACATTGTCATCACTAGTTTTTAATGCTAGTTTTCTTTCATCAAATTGGATTTCACTATCTGCCATGATAAGATTTAAACTCATGTTCCCAGAACATGAGTCTGGGATTCTGTTCAGTGCTATTAGCACCATGTCACTGCTTGCCCTTTTAGTCTTCTCACTGATTACATTCTAAAAAGAAATGAAAATATTGAAATTATTTTCACACGCTCCTTTCATTTGGTTAAATGGAGTTATTTTTCCTGTTGATAAACATGTTTCTAGAGATATTGCAATTGCAAGCACAAACCTCTTAACATAAGTGAACTCAAAAGAAGAAATGATGAAGCACTTTTTCTGTTGGGAGTTAGCTAATTCAACAGTTGATGATGCCCTTACAAGGGAAAAAAAACAAACATTTGTGTTAGTAACCAGTACAAACAAGACTGAGCCTAAACATACCATATGTGTGTGTCAGCTGTTATTCACACGTACATTGAATAGAAATGCAAATACCTTCTGTGCTTTGCGTTTATCTGCCCGTTGGTTTTGATGGTAGATGCGGCTGAAGTTTGAGACAATCACGGGGACAGGTAAGGCAATAACCAACACACCACTCAAAGAGCAGATAGAACCAAAAATCTTCCCAGCAATGGTCTTTGGTACCATGTCACCATACCTGCACCAAACAAAACAAATGATCGGGTTTTAATAAAAAGGTAGCTACCAGACTTACAGAATGATGTTTATAAATAAAAGATATACAGTGGATTGTGTCAATGTAATCAATTTGTATCAGATAAGGGAGACACATTTACAATATGAAAATCAGAATTACAAAACTCAAATTCAATTTTTGTTTTTGTCAAAGTCCTTTCCCTAAATTTTGTTTCTATTAGATCATAGAATAGAATCCCTACAGTGTGGAAGCAGGCCATTTTGCCCATCGAATCCACACTGCCCCTCTGAACAGCATCAGCCCAAGGCCCACCCCACCCCTATATTTCCCATGGCTAAACCCACCTAGCCTGCACATCCCTGGACGCTATGAGCAATTCAGCATGGCCAATCCACCTAATGTGTACATCTTTAGACTGTTGAAGGAAACCCACACAGACACAGAGAGAATGTACAAACTCCACAGTCACCTTTGGCTGGAAGTGAACTTTGATCTCTGGCACTGTAGGCAGCAGCGCTAACCACTGAGCCACCATGCCCCCCTAAAGTCCAACCAGCATGTCAAAACATGCACACTTGTGTTCATTTTGATTTTTAGGAAATTTTAAACAAAGTTTTGTCAAAATAGAATAACTAATTTGTCAAAACATCATTGAAAAGTAAAAGAATATTATTTAATTCAGCACTTTCAACTTTTCACAGTATAGAACTGTAATATCCACTCCTTTGATAATGATCACAGCTCAAAAAGCATCTTATTCAGCTAATGACCATTAGAGGGATGCTTGTTGCAGTGTGAGTAAATTGGGAACTTAATATTTCAGGAAACTTGACTTTTAGAAGAGATAGGCAAAATGGAAAATATGAGATAATGGATGGGTTAAAGCCATAAAGAAATGTCATCTTGGAGAAGCAGTGTAGAGGGAACAGTAAATGGCAACAAAGACTTACAAGTAGCTTATATGGCCCTAATAGTAATTGTAGTGCCAGGCAAACTATAAATAAACCAAGAAACCAGAGGTGCATGTCAGAAAGATTAAATATGTAAGCAATCTGATGTTAATGCCTGTAATATAAGACACTAGATGTGGATATCCTGATACTGAAGAATTCAATAGACATTTATTACATGTAGCTACGACATACAAAGATTATATTCACAAGCACATCAGTGTCTGTGCTCACATTAAGCTACTAGATTTAAACTGAGCAGCTACCCTCAGTAGCACATCATGTTTCAAATAATTCCCTGTAATATGGAGTCTCAGATCTTCACATAATCAAGTCACATGGTATGATACAATAATAATGTCAGGATATGTTTCTTAAGGGCTAAATCTTATGTTTTTTTGGTTGTGAGAGTTACGTTGTGCTTTTTTGGAGGGATTCTTGCCTTGAGGCCCAGTGAGATTTCTCATGATAACTTCCGAAACATGCTTCATCAACTACATCTGCCATCCTATGATGTTTCTCACATATGATTCTGTCTCCATCTTACCATGCACCATTCCTGGAACAACTCATCACTCATTGGGTATTTGCTGAAAGCCTGGCCACCCTCGCACTCGTGCTTTCCTTAAAATCCCATTGTGCACCTGGATAAGCACTGCCAGTCTGGAGCTGCCCTGCAAAATTCCTGACATTTGTCCCCAGTCATGGGATACAGGGCTGTTACCCTTCTGTGCAGGTCTATCACGAGTGACGTTCATGTTTAACAGTTCTGATGAAGGGTCATTGGACCCAAAACTTTGACTCTGCTTTCTCTCCATAGATGCTGCCCTCTGTGTCTCTTAAAGCTATTCTGACATACTGACCATGAGATTTAACACAATAGAAAACATCCTTTCTAAATTCATCTTGTTAAGACTGTTCAGGGTCTTATATATTTGATCAAGTCATCTCTCGCTCTTCTCGACTCTAATGAAAGTAAGTCCAACCTTTCCTTATGAGACAACTTGATCATTCCATGTATCAACATAGAAGTTGACTTGCCTCTAATGCATTTGCATCCTTCCTTAAAAAAAAAACAAACTGTGTGATTTTTGAGATACGGTCTCATCAGTGCCCTGTATAGCTGAAGCTATCCTTACTTTCATTTTGAATTCCTCTCATAGTAAAGGATAACAATCCATTCACCTTGTTTTATGACTTGGTGTATCTGCGTACTAACTTTCTGTAATGCATGCACTAAAACACTTAGATCTCTCCGCACTTGGAGTTCTGCAGCTGTTCTCCAGTTAAGTAAAACTCTGCTTTTTTATTCTTCTTTCATGATCGTATTGAATGGTGGTGCAGTCTGGAAGGGCCAAATGGCCTACTGCACCTATTTCTATGTTTCTATGTTTCCAGCTCAAGTGAACTACTTCAATTTCCCACATTATATTCCAACTGACAGAGTTTTGCCAACTGACTCAACTATCTCTATTCATCTATATTGGATTGCAATATCACTGTTTCCTCTTCACACCATACTTTCCTACATACCAATGTGTCGTCTGCAAATTTATCTACCAATGTTTTGGTATAAGCCACTGATACAACCCATAAAAAGTTGAGGCCCTGGCACAGGCCTATGGGACACGACACATCACATCCTATTGCTCAAACTCTCCATTCTCTGCCAATGAATCAATCTTCCATCTATGCTATTTTGTTAGCCTCTACATCATAGCCTTTAACAGTTTTTCCTTGGCAAATGCTTTTTAACAATCTAAGAACAGGGCTATAACAGATTTCCCTCTGCCCACAGTACATGCTACTCCTTCAAAAAACACCAAGAAATTGGCAAACTATGATTCACTTTCACAAAAGCATGCAGTTTGTTTCTGATAATCTTGAGTTTTTCTAAGTATGTAGTATATTGTCCATAATGATCAATTCTAATACCTTCTCCACGACAGGCATCAAGTTAACTCACCTGTAGTTGCCTGTTATCTGCCTCTTTCCCTCTTGAACAGAGGGGTTACATTTGCTCCTTTCCGGATTAATTAGACTTTTCCAGAATCTAGCAAATTTTGGAACATTACACTAATGCATTTAGTATCTTATTTGTCATCTGTTTTAATACCCTAGGATGAAATCCATTATCAGGAGACTTGTCAGCACACAGTTCGATAAGTTGCTCAGCATTGCCTCCCTGGTGATAGAAATTTCACTACGTTCATCTCCTCCTGTTGCCTCCTGATGGCATTTTTTTCTTTGTATCCACTATAGTGCATTTATTGATTTCATCTGCCATATAATAAAGGAAACACTAGGGAACTAAACTTCATTTTGAGTTTGATGCAATTTCCTCAAGTCAGAAGATCTTAAATAGGAATAAAGCATACTATTTGGAATGAGGAGCGAGTTGACTAAGGTACATTTGAAAATAGATTAAAAGATATAAAGGTAGATTAGCAAAGGCATGCATTTAAAGAATCAATCCATAATTTGCAACAAACAAACTTTCCCTCAAAAAGAATAGAAATCCCTTGGGAAATGTGGCATATCATGGCTAAAAGAAGCTAAAGATAGTCCATGATAAAAGCATACAATGTTGTCATAAAGAGTAGAAAGCCCAAGGACTAGAACTCAGTGAAGAAGTTGATAAAGAGGGATTGTGAGAGTAAACTACAAGTGACAAAATAAATTGCAAAGAAAGTCAATAGATCTGTAAAACAAATTAGCAAAAGTAAACATGGGTCCCTTAGAGGCAGGGGCAAGACAAATTATATTGGGGGAATGAGAAACATCTGCCAAGAAAATAAAATATATACACATAAATGTTCTTCAACAAAAAAACTGATCTTCCTACAACCTCATAAACATCCCAATCAGATAGACCATTAAAGTATAATAACAGTTTAGAAGAATGAGAGGTGAACTTATTAAAGCATACAAGATGCTTAAGGGGTTTGACTGAGTACATGCAAAAAGGCTGTTTCCCTTTATGGGAGAGTCGAGGACCAGAAGGCATAATCTCAGTGTAAGTAGTCACCCATTTAAGACAGTGATGAGCAGAAACATTTTCTCTCAGAGGATAGTGAATCTGTGAAATACGGTACTGCAGAGTGCTGCAGAGGCTGGGTCATTAAATATTTTCAAGGTTGAGATAAACAGAGTTTTAATTGGAAAGGAAATCAACAATACAGGGAAAAGGCTGGAAATCAGATGAAAAGATCAACCACAATCCCAATGAATGGCAAAGCAGACTTGATTGGCTGAATGATTTACTTCTGCTCTTATGTCTTATAATCTTATCCTAAAAACTGTACACTGACAAACTTCTACCTTGAAATGTTATCACGTCATTTTATGAGGAAAGAAAACCCTGTATCTTCAAGTAAATGGATTTATATTAAATGGGCATCACCAATCTAGTGAACGGTAGATCATTTTACATTAAATAGTGATATATGGACGGTATAATTATAATACATTTTTCTTAGGGGTTGTGCATATCAAAATATGGTCAAATATGTTTAATAATCCTACATGTGTGTTGTTTCAGATTAAAATGCTCTTTTTGTTGAAGAGATGATAAGATATTGACAACTATTGCAACAGTTTCCAGATATAACCAGCAATATCATTATCAAGTATATTAGATACAACCACTCTTACTTACAAAGGCAAAAATGGTCTATTACACCATCCAACAATTCCATAGAATGATTAACAATGTACATGACTTCCTCATGAATAAAGTTTCAGCTCTAATACTGCAGTTTAGCTTTAATTTCCAATTTTATATTCGGTTAACAATCCTAATGTACCGAAGAAGAAAAATGATTTGTGTGAAATCTCTAAATAGACGGTATGAACAAATAAAGCCATTGCAATGACTAATAGCTTCCATTGGAAAGTACATCATCTGCATTTTAAAAGATGTCTTTATTTGTGCTCATATGCATGATTATTGCAAGTCAATCCAACTGAGACAAGTTTATTACATAATGTGGTATATACCTTTATATATCAGTTATATACTTTAATAGCGAATACAATAATCAACCCAAA